CCGCCGCAGCCGCCGCCCCAAGGCCTCCCGGAGCCGAGGCCGGGTACGGAAGCGGTCATGCAGGTGCTGGAAATATCGGGCCCACTCTAAAGCCCTGTCCAGGGTCAGAGAGTCCCAGTCCCGTACCAGTGGGGAGCGGGAGACAGCCAAGAGCACAGGCAACTGCTCCACCTGTCCCAGCACGGTCTCCATAGCTGCTAGCCCCCGTCTTGGCGCCACCAGTTTGAGCAGAAGTCCCGCCTCCTGCTGGGAACAGAAACCAATCCGAAGTGGGGAAGGGAGGGATTTATAACTCTATTGGCTGAATCTGACGTCAACCCGATGCGGATTAGTTTTCCGTTAAAGGAGACTTTAACCAGCCTCTTCCATCAGTCATTTGTGTCTCATCCCTCAGAGAAGGGTGGGTGATGAGCTGGATTAAAGCATTAAAAAATGAGTAGGATTAAGATATTAAAAAACAAACAAACCAACCAGCTGAAAGGCTTACAATAATATTCCTAAATACCTCTTAAAAAATAAAACTTTTCAAGAGCAAATATCCCCTGCCTTACATTTGGAGATATTTCTCAATTTCTGTTGTACAGAGGTCCCTGGAGAGCAGCCATGGCCAAGCTCAGCATGGAGCTGGGCTGGTTCCGCAGTGCTACTACTAGCTTGGCACCCTCCCAAGGCTGAACCTAGCTCAGCCCACACAGCTGGGCTTGGCCTGCTGACCTACCAACTAATGGCTTTGTGGCTCATTAGCAGTTTCCCTAGGGTACCCAGCCTTCCCCAGTGTACCTGTGCTAGGCCTCTGGCTGCCTGCAGAGTTAATGGCTGACTCCTGCTCTGGCCTTCTGGGTGCTAATGCAGCCAGGGTTTCCCGCATGGACACCCCCGAGACAGCATTTCTATGTAGTGAGAAGAGGTGGCTCCTTCTCCCTTACCTGCCTCTGGCAGCTGAAGGACAGTTTTACATGGCAGGCTAGAGGTATTAGACTTAGCTTGCAGGTTGCAGCCTGTCGGTTAGAGCAACCATTCCCAGGTGCTTTCTTTGCATCTTGAGGGCTTCTGCTAAGCTGGAAGATGGGCCCTTTTACCTCTATCATCATCCTCATGGCAGATGTGCCATGCTGAGCACGGTGTGGTAGGGAGCAGGCCAGCTTGGCTTCTGGCAGCTTCCACAGGTACCCCGTGCTCTCCAGCTCTTGAGGGGGTGAAGCAGTGGCAGGAAGGTGGCAGGGTGCTGGAGCTGGTAGGTTTGGAAATGGCTGGGTGCTCTCCAGGGAGTTCATGGACCCTGTGATATTATTCTGGCCACTGAACAAGTATGGAGGCAGTGGAGAGGCCTGGTTAGCCCCTGGAGCTGTTGGCTAAGCCTTGAGCTGGGCTGCAGGACAGTGCTGGCTGCAGCAATGCTGGGGCAGGGGGAGGGCTGTCACTAGAGCCGAGTCTGCGGAGGAGCATTCCCTCCTCACCCACGCCTGGGAGGACTTGGCTCCATGACCAATCCCTTGGGTGATGGTAGTGAGGGATAACACAAATCTTGCTCGTTGAGCAGCTACTTGGGTAAGGGCTTTCTGAAAGGCAAGAGCAACTCCAGGCAGAGTAAATGAGGTTTGACCGGAATTTATTGCAGGAGCCAGCAACAGAAAGCAAACTATCATGCTGTGAGCTACCACAGTGTAGGGTAAAGCATAACACTCTTCCTCTTATGCAGAGCTCTTGTTTTCTTTCATACATCTTAGTGATGGAATTTGTTTCCTCTGGGTTTGTTACCTAAATGAATTGCATTTTTGGGTGATGGAGTAAGTGTGCATAGACTCTTGATTGCAAATATATTTAGCTCAGATAGTAATGGATGCAGGTCTTGTAGCCTCTGAGTTACACCAGACTTCAAACTAACATGCGTGAAAGACAAGAAAGAGGCACACAACTTGCTTCTACTGCTTTCTTCTTTACCAAGGAAAACTGAGGTGGGTGAATAGTGCCACTGAACCCACTAGACTGCCAAGCCTTGCTAGGAACATGCTCAAACCTTGTCTCTTGACCACAGACTCCTTCCCTAAAGGTAACTCCTAGCTGTTGGTGACCAGCTTATCTAATTCACATCATGCTTCCAAAAAAAAGCAAAAGAGAGAATAATAAAATTCTAGGAGTTAGATACTAGTCTCCCCTCTTCAAACCCTTTCCTGAACTGCCCTGGATGGTTGTTCAGGAAATATCTTTCTCAAGTACTTTTAGGAAAACAGAGCTCTCATCTGAGCTCTTACCCTGTTTTCGTGTTTCAGTCATCTATTTAAAAAAACCATGAGGTTACAAACTTGATGGTCTAGTCCACCTGTAGCTTAAGGGCCTACTACAGGAATTAGAGTGAAATTCTATGACCCTTCTTGTTGCAGGAGCTCATAACAATCCCTCAGTATCTATGAATATAATGTATTTCAAGGTATCATTCTAAAATAGCTGGTTTTATCCTGAAAAATCTCTTTTAAGCTTTTTATTAAGTATTTCTGGAGTAATAAACATAAAATTAGCAAAAAGTGACTAAAGATTTGTTGCATTGTTATGCATTTTTTGCATTTATACATGAAGTCCCCAACACAGAAAGGACCTTGAAGTGCTGGAGCATGTGCAGAGGAGGGCCACAAAGATGATCAAAGGGCTGGAGCACCTCTCCTACAAAGACAGGCTGAGAGAGTTGGGGTTGTTTAGCCTGGAGAACAGAAGGCTCTGGGGGGACCTTATAGTGACCTTCTGATGCCTGAAAGGTGCCTATAAGAAAGCTCGGGAAGAGCTTTTCACTAGGGCATGTAGCGATAGGACAAGGGGTAATGGTTTTAAACTAGAAAAGGATAGATTTAGGTTGGATATTAGGAAAAGGTTTTTTAACATGAGGACGATAGGTCACTGGAGCAGGTTGCCCAGAGAGGTGGTGGAGGCCCCATCCCTGGAGATGTTCAAGGTCAGGTTTGATAGGGTTCTGAGCAACCTGATCTAGTAACAGTGTCCTTGCTCACTGCAGGGGGGTTGGACTAGATAATTTTAAAGGTCCCTTACAACCCAATGCATTCTATGATTCTATGAATTGCTTTTCCTATTAATAAATTAATATTTACCTATCATCTGCCATGTCTATGTATTCTGAAGTACATTATAAACTTATATACATTAAAGAGAAGATGGAATATGCAAACTTTTCAGTTATATACAATTGAGTGCAACACTTTGGAACATTTTACTTCATGCCTTAAACATGCTTTACTTTACTTCATGCTTTAAATCTTTCACATTACTGTTCTTGTTCTTCATTGGATAAAGTATACGGGTTTATATCCTTTAAATGTGTCTATGTGTTTCAGTTGAAGGATATCAAATAATCACATCTGCAGCACCAGCAAACTAACAATAACAGGTTGTGAAAATCTAATCAGACTTGGAAAAAAACCACTTAATACTACAATATCTGGAATACTCCTGCATGCTCTAATGAGTCTCTGTAGAGCTAACTGAAAAATGGAATTTCCGTTTTACGAAAAACTCTGAATATTTCATCATTTGGCTTTGTCTCAAATTAGGATGAAAAGTCTAAATATCAGCATTTTTCATCAAGGGGATACAGTTTGACATCTCTGTAATAAATTAGTTCATGCAGAAAGACATTTATACATTTCCAGGTATTGCAGCTGCATTTGGAGTCTGCAGTCATGATGGGGCACAGTTGATGCATGTAATGAAAAGTAGAGCCTCATCTGAAGGACTAGCAAAGTTCTGTGTAAGAATGTATTGGAAGATGAATTAAAGGAACAAATTAAAGAAACAAGTTAACACAAAGACAGTTATGGTTCATGTAATAATTTTTACAGTGTAATAGCCCTTAAAAATGGTAATTCTTTTTCCACACTCAGCACTAAAAAAACTCCCTTTCTCTTGTGTTATTTGAGAGCCTGACCACTCTCAGAATATGTTTTGGATCTTCCACTGTAAGACTGGAATCTATTTATGGTTGATTGATCTGCTGATGCTGGTATGATGTAGTAATCAAATTAAATTGAACAAATGTGGTTTCTTTCTCACAGGTGAATTACCTTCCTATAACTTTTAAGTGTTAGTGCTCTTTTTTCTGTGATTAGTCTTAGTTCTAGCCAAGTAACAACTTGAACAGTCCTGGGGTTTTCCCTACCAACAGTAAAATCGCTAAGTGTCAAAGTTTGTATTTTGTAGTTACTGTCTATCAGCTTATGCTAAGTCTATTACTGCCTGATAGTATTGCTGAGTTGTGTGGGCATTGTTTAAAAATATCTGTACAGTCCTCAGTTGATTTTCTATCTGAGAAACATCTATGGGACAGTGGGGAAACATTTAGGAGGTAAGCACTGCAAGACTGAAGAGGTGAGGTAGAGAGTTAATGTTGGGGAGGGGGATGGGAAAATTTGGGTCACAATGTCATGAGATACAGTAAGGGCACAAAAATGGGGTGGATAGAATGGTGAATGGATGGGAAGAGGGGGTGCTTTCCTGTTTAGCTTGATTACTTTTTAAGAAAAAAACCTAAAAGTTCCCTTCTTGGTCTTACATTTGTCTTCGGTTGTTTAGTATCAGTCTGCTTCTCCTATTAATAACTCTTGTAGTAGTCTTTTATAATGTTTTAGGTTGTGTTTGGATGTGTTTTTCGTGTCATATAGTCCCTTTATTTTTTGCTAACAAGAAATGGAACCCACAAAGATAGCTTAAAGAAAATCATGCAGTCTACATGTGTGAGTGCATGAGGCTTCCTGCTGTGGAGGATGGAGAAATATGTTAAAGTAGCACTTTTAAACGACTTTGAAGAATTATCACTTTGTTGCACAGTCTGAAAAGTAACCTCTTTGTTCTGTATGATTTAAAAGCAAAGAAGAAAACAGAAGAGAGAACAGGGCATATTTTGTATGATAGGCTAGAGTACAGATTTACATTTGCAACACATCAGATTGTTTAAGTTCTCTGCTGTACGGTTCTTGCAAGAAGCTCTGACACTGTTTACAGAGATAGCCAATGTTTCTTGTGTTGTGTGTTTTACTTCTGAATTTTTTTTTCCTCATCAAAGTCTATCTTTTAGTCTCAAAAATGAGTATTAAAACAAGAAATGAGCCTTTGAGAGTATTCATCTACTGTTGTATTAAGCTGTAATAAAGGTTTCTCTATTACAGCTTTTAACTGATATGACAAAGAAAGTTGTTAAGTAAGAAAATTGTCTCTTAGATGCAGAATCTGGGAAGTAATTTCCCCAGCTTCCTGAAAACAAGCCCATTTTTCAGTGAAGCACTGCAAAACAGTTTCACAAGTCCTGCATTTTGTATGAATTACTGTACTGTTTTATCTAAGCTGAGAAGTCAAGTAAAAGATTCATATGAAGTTTTATGGAACTAGTGAGTTTCTTCAATCTGGTTATGGAGCCAGTAAAATTCACCCTGGCAGGGAATATAGTTTTGAAGCAAAATTGGTCCAAGTAGCCAGAAGTCTGGATTCCATTGTTGTATTTTCCTTCCTCTCTGAAGTCATATTGGCTGTAACACAGTTATACTATTTCTCCTGAATAGAAATTTAGTACTCTGTTTACTCAGTGTTCCTAGTATTATAGAACTCCAAAGTGGTCTTTCCTTAGGTAGGAGGTGTTTTTTCAAATTACAAAAATGAGCGAGATGCAGGATCATCTTGTATATTTCTGGCACTAATATTCACTAACTTCAAGAAGGTTTGTTTAGCTGCCTCAAATTGCATGCTAGGCATAAGGTCACCACACTCATTGTATAGTAACTTTTATATTTATATTTATATAGATATAGATATATCTCAATAATTCTGAACTTGTGTTCTGACTGTTCTTGTAGAATTTATTCATATTTCTGCAACAAACTTTGCAGAAAATGGAGGTTATTAGTGAAGTCAGTACCTGGCAAGCTATGTCACCCCTTCCATAACTTCTGATGAAGGCCTTAGAATTTTTTTTGTCAGTGTAATCTCTCATATCTCAAAAACTAGCAAGGCTGTGGTGGGCTTTTGGAATGAGAACAGAACAAGTGTATAATAAAATTGTGTAATAAAGGTATTGAACTTACTAATTTGCACATCAGTGTGAGCTCAGACTGTACAAGAGGCATATCTGTCTGCAGGGGGTTTTCCCCTGAAACCTACGTGCTATGCTCCCGTTAGGATAGCATGGTAAGTCCCGCAGATGCTGATTGTAGTGTGCCAGTGCATTAATAGCAATGCCCATTTGCGATGCGTTAGACCTATGATTTCAGTAATTTATGTC